GCTTGGATTTTTTCCCCTTCGGTCAAGTCGGTAATTCGGTTGAAAAGACTCTCCATTTGCTGCGTGTACTGTGTTTCACTGCCAAACTATTTATGCCGATGAATCTGCTGCCGCGCCATGTAGCTGGAGTTGATTGGTTCGAAACGTTGAATTAAAGCTTCCCGAAACTGCGTCTATGACCCCTCGCCTCGGATCTTATTGCTGTTGTAAATCCACTCGAGCGCCGGGCCTTGTAACAGTATCGCTGCGAGCCAAATCCGCATTGCATCGTGTGTCGGGGTCGTACAGCCAACGGCCTCGAAGTAAATTTCGAGAGTCGCAATGAATCGATGAACGTCAGTGTCTCTCGCATTCGGATTGAATGTCTCTGGTAGCCTCGGACGTGCTGCCTCAAGATTCATTGTAGCCGCTGCCGCTGCTGCTGGGTTAAGTGTCGGTGTCCCCGCTGCTGCGCTGACGTCGCTGCTGCTTTCGCCGCTACGTTCGTTGCTGCCGTGGCGGCTGCCGACTGGTTCGCAAAAAGCTCGTCTATTTGCTGGAGTGCCGCTCGCGTCTGGTCCAGGTCGGTGTGTAACTCTGTAGGTTTCCGTACGGAATTATCACCGTTTTCCTCCATTTGGCAATTTATAGGAAGATTTGCGATGAAAATATATGAATTTTAGGCGCTGGTCATCTTACTGTGAGTCGAGTTGACTGCAGAAATGATGAGGGCTGATTCTGTAGGTCGCGTTATTCTCCCTTAGTCGAAATTCGCGTCTGATCTTGGCCGTTGAGAAGAAGTTCGATCCGACGCTCCAAATTCCAACCTTTTTGGGCGAAATTCTTGAGGCCGTTGAGATTCGAATCGATCCGATGGTCGAAATTCCAACTTTTTCGCCACTCGACCTGAGGAGGGTTCGAAAACCGGTTCGAGGGGGACGTTAGAAAATAGCGCAGAACTCGTTTACGTACCCAAAATCGGCGCTTTCCGTCGTCGCCCCCCGCAGTTTTAAAAGCTAGGTTTTAGCGGTCGAAAAACTTCGCGTGCAAACAGACTCTGATTACCAAGTGTGAGGATCTAGGATCGAGCTCAGAAAAGAGAGTGTGAATTGAATGAATCACCCGGATACAACACGAGGCTATGTATAGGCTCGACACAAAGGCCCCGTAACCAGGTGTTACGCGAAGGTTCCGCGGGTCGCGAAGCGTCCCGAACAGATCCTTTCCGAACTCGGTAGAAGGCAATTTGGTGGCAACCGGAAAGCCAGAATTCGGTGCACGCAACCTAGCTCGGTGCTATAACTATAATAAAATATAGGAAAGCACCTAGCCTAGGAAATCAAGCAATTCATGCATACATATAATTAACCTATGCTAGAAATAGAATGATAAAGTAAAGGCAAGCAAGCATAGCTGGCATAAGCCGTCGTACTCTCACATCCACCTTGGCCTGTTGGATCCCTATTTGTCCCCCTTTCACCTCATACCCTAGGTACTGCACTGTCTTATCCCCCCATCTGCACTTCTTAGGGTGGCAGGTGAGTCTTGCTGCTTCAATCACCGCCGGGGTCTTCTCCACATCCTGCAGGTGCTGCTGCTCTGTGGTGCTGAAGATTACCACATCGTCTATGTAGCAGGCCGCGCACTCCACTCCCCGCAGCATGCTGTCCATGACCCTCTGGAACACTGCTGATGCGTTTCGCAGTCTAAATGGCATGTACAACCACTTGTACAGCCCGTCTGGCCCATGAAAGGCCGTCTTCCTGATGTCCTCGTCTCTGATCTTGATCTGGTTGAACCCCTGCCGCAGGTCCAGTGTAGTGAAGAACACCCCCTCTGCCAGTTTATGAAAGATCTCCTCCGCCATCGGCATCGGGTATCTGTCTACTATGGTGATTTTGTTGAGTGCCCTGTAGTCTCCACACATCCTCCTGCTCAGCACCTCCCCTGTCAGGTCTCGCCTGGCTGCCAGCACTGTTGGTGTGGCATATTCAGACTCCGATCTCCTAATCAGTCCCGCTTCCAGCAGCTCCTTGATCTTCTCCTTGCAGATCTCCTCATCCCCGGGCAGCATCTTCCTCCTGCGCTGGAACACTGGTTCTGTGCTGCTCAGCTTCAGCTCCATCTCCTTCGCCTTGCACCTCCCCAGTTTCTGCATGGTGAAAGCGAAACACTTCCGGTGCCTCGCTAGCAGCCCCTGCATGGCCTCCCTTCCCCCCTTGCTCATCGCTTCCCCCACCACCCAGCTCTCCTCCTCCTTTGCCTGGCAGCTCCATGCTCCCCGTGGCTCCGCCTTCATCCCTCCTTTCCCTTCCTCCTGCCCCCATCTCATGTCCGTCTCCCGCCACATTCGCTGAATCAGCCACCTCATCACGTGGCCATCCATTGCATTCCCCAGAGCCCTCCTCCTGTCCGCTTCACTTGCCCCAGGTGCTGCTGTTGCGTCTTCTCCGTACCCCATAGCCAGCTCCTGCTCTAGTGCCGTGGGCTCCTCCCATCTCCCTCTCTTATGGTCATACACCATCCCTGGCCCAGGCTTCCCTGCTTCCCAATTGTACCCTGCTGCCCCCACATATGCCACCAGCGTGGGCAGAGCCTGCCTCTCCTGCCCCACTTGGTTGCACTGCTCGTGCCTGCTGTAGCTCTTGCGACTCACCGGTGCTGGGGTCCGCCCTGGTGCCAGGATGTCTTGCACCTTCCTCTCTGCTGCTCGCCTCACCCCCTCTATCTCTGCTTGCAGCTGCGCGGCAGGGACCACATTCTGCCAGTACATTCTGAGCCTGTGCGCATAAGACCCCATTCTGGCCGCATCACAGCTCACCCCTTCTCCCAGCTGCTTCCTGATTCTTTCCCTCACCAGTCGGATTGGCTCTCTGCTATCTCCCTCCAGGTCCAGATTCTCCAGTAAGTATGCCACCCTGCCCTGCCTCTCCTGCAGCCACTCCATGATTTGGAATAGATCCTTCAGCAACCCTGTCCTGTGATCTTCCCCTCCCTTGCCCTTGCCTGCCCAAGACACCCCTTGGCATTCCCACCCTGCTACCAGCAGATCCACCTGCCCCCAGCTCGCCACCTCGGCCTCGCCTATGTCCTTCACATCGTGGATCGTCCCCCCCATCGCCTTGCTGATCATTTCCTCATTCAGCAGGTCTGGGAATTCTGCTTGCAGCTTCCTGGCATGGTGCTCTGCCATCCTCCTCACCCCGTCTTCCTTCTCCACATATGTCCATCTCTTCACTGCTATCCCATTCCTCACCACTGCGGACAGCCCTGCCCCTATCCCCCCAAACAGCTCTACGAGGTGGATGGGCTGCTGCCAATCACTTTGCTACTGTGGCTTGTCCATCTCCTTCATTATGGGCGCTCCTCCCATCCCTGACTGCCCTCCTTGCTCCCCCGGCAGCCGTTCCCCCACGGCCTGGTAAGCTCTCTTCGGCTCCACCTTCACGAACTGCACTGGCAGCTCTCCCAGCGGCCCTCCCTCTTCAAGTATCTAGTCCTAAACTCTACCTTCTCCGCCCATGTGCATATGGTCATCCCTACCGCATACACCAACTCGGTGCCCACCAGCACGTCAAAGTCCTCCGACTCGGAAATCCCACACTTCATGCAGATCTTGGTTTCGTGTTCCCCCCCCCCCCGGCAGCAGTGTCACTTCTATGGGCGTCCGTGTGCATGGCATCCACTTCGGCTCCCCTCCTTCCGCTGTCATCACCAGCATCTCCTTAGCCACATGCCTCTACGGTGCCAGCAATCCCAGCCTCTCAGCCATCCCCTTGCCCAACATCACACTCTGCGCACCTGTATCTACGATGGCTGTCTTTACCTTCACCCCCTCCACTTCCATGGCTCCCTTCTCCAGCAGCAGCACCGAGGTCTGGCATGCCAGCCTCTCTTGGGGATGGCGTGCGGGGACTGGCTCCTGGGCTGGCTTGGCTGGCTTCTCTCCTTTCACCTGTTCCTTCCTTCCATGCTCCGCCTGCCATCCTTGCCTCCACTCCTCAGCCCCATCTCCTCCCTTCCTCTCCACGCCATGAGAGCACACTGCACATACTGCTCCACCTCCTCTCCTCCCCCATCTCCCGCGTACATCCTGGCCTCTGCCTCCCCCTTCAGCCCGGTCGCCCTCAGCTGTGCCTGCAACCTGCTAATCTGCCGCTGCAGCTCCTCTGGATGCCTCCTACTCCCCCCTTCCCTCTGGTAGCAATCCTTCGCCTCATGTCCCTACCTCTTGCAGCTTTCACACCTGGCTGCATCCGGGCACTCCCGCTTCCTGTGCCCTGGCTTTCCCACACCCATCACAGTTCTTGCAATCCCTGCGCAGATGGCCTGGCTGTCTGCACCTGTGGCATGTCCTCGTGTCCGTCCCTGTCTCCCCCCATCCCTCCGTTCTCCCTCTTCCTCCTGGTATCATTGCCGACGCCCACGTTGGCGCCTGCCTCCTCTCTGCTGGCCTGGGAAGATACGCCTCAAATTTCCTTTGTGCGAGCTCCACTCTCTCAGCCAGAGCGAACACCTCCTCCAGGCTTGCATCCGCTCCTATCTCATACACCCTCTATCCTCAGCCCCCCTCCTAAGGCCTCGGTCCAAGCCCCCAGAAACTTGCTGATGAGAAGACTGCTGTCCATGCATCTCACGTCCTCCGCCACATTGATCAGCCGGTTTGTAGTAGGTCAGTAGCGACTCAGTCCGGCCCCTGTTGAATTCCTAGAACTCCCTTATGCGCTCTGCCGTATGACCTGGGAATTGCCGCTGCAGTCGCTCCAAGAATGCCTCGGTGGGGTCCTCGCCGTACCTCCCCGCCCTCCACAGCAGTTCCTCCATCTTCAATGCGGTAGAGCGTCTCGGCCTCTCCCTCCGGCGTGTTCAGCAGACTCAAGAAGAAGTCCATTGGGTCCATGTGGTGCCGGTTGCAGCGGTACCGCACATTCCCCACCTGCATGAGATAGTTCTTGAGGGTCGGCCCTGCACGCTGGTCACCTGAGAATCTGGCGGGCACCTCTACCCTCGGGGTGCCGTTGCTACCCCTCGCCCCTCTCCCCATGATTCGCTGGCCCCTTCCGGCCGACCCCTCTCTGTTTCCCTCGCCCGTGCTCTCTGCATACCCTCTCTAGCCTCCCGCGCCCGCTCTGCCCCTTGCGCCAGCGTTCCGCCCTCCGTTCTGCCCTCTTGGCCACTTCCGCCTGACTCGTACCGCCTCTCCCCGATCCTCCCCACCCTTCCGCCCGTCCCCACTGTGGCCGGGCAGCAGCCTGCGCACCTCCCGCTCCTCCCATCTGCTCGCCTCGCGCCACGGCCGCCTTTCTGGCGACGGCAACCAGGGCGTCCCCCCTTCGGCTCTGCTGCTGGCGGCGCTCTGGTGAGAGCCTTTCCCCTCCGTAAGCCTCTCTCCGCGCGTGGCGCCAGTCGGGCGAAGCGAGACCCGCAGTCGGTCCCGCTTTTCTCTCCGCCTCGGCCGGCCCAGCGATCGCATCGCGCTGCTGCGCTCCCCCTAGCTGCTGGCCGCACTGCTCTTGTGACCCATGCTCCGCCCCGTGACTCCCTTCCTGACCCCACTTACCACCAGCTCCACACCCGCTTCTCTTACACACTCCAGGGGACTTCTACTCCACTCCACTGACTCCGTGCCCCTGCGACATTGTCCCCCACATCCCTCCCATAAACCCCTATGCTGTTTACCTGTTCCCCCCCTCCCCCTTCTTCCCCTCCCTCCCCCACCGCTCCCTACTCCAGCTCTGCGCCTGCTTCTCCCACACTGACTTGAGCCCCACCAACTCTCCTGCCTGCCTCTATAGCGCAGTGCATGGCTCACCCCCTCAGCAGCATGCTAGCTAGAGGCTGCTGACGTGGTGGAGGTGCATGACAGGCTGCAGGCGAAGCTGGGGGAAGCCGGGCCGCTGAAAGCCCTTGGCGGTTTTTTGTCTGGGAGCAGAGAGAGGAGGCTCGTGGTGTGATGCCTTGCCTTGTAGGTGATTCTTGTGGTGCCAGGCAAGGCTGGGTGGGGCTGCGCATTGCTGGGCGGGGCTGGGCCACTGGGTACCCTATGGCGGGTTTTGAGCATGGCCAGGTAGAGGAAGAAGGAAGGTGTGCTTTGAGTGAGTGAGAGGTGGCGGGCTGCTTGATGCTTGTAGGTGACTGTGGGTCACGGTTGAGGCAAGGCTGGGCAGGCCGCGGGGGTGCTGGGTGGTTTGGAGGTGGTGGCGTACTTGCTAGATGAGCAAAGGGCGGAGGAGGTAGGTGGGGATAGGCACGTGGGCTAATGATGGGCCACCAGCACAGCACCAGGAGGTCACCAGTAGCGAGGCTGCTGGGTGCCAGCAGCTTTCTTATTGAAGGATGAGCAGTGCAGGAGGAGGTAGGTGGTGAGAGTGACGTGGGTTGTTTATGGGTTCATCTCGGGTCAGTCTCAGGTCGGGCTGAGCAAGTACCGAACTCAAGTCAAACCAGTCCAGTCCACTAGTCGAATTGAACCTGTTGGGTCGAATTGAGTCAAACCAACACCGAGGTTCAAACCAGATCGGCTTGGCAACATCATCTCGAGTGAATCTCGGCAAACTCTGCGAATTCCTCCGCTGGTTCCTAGGCGTAGATCTCAGCCTCACAACTGGAGCCCAGAACAGAAGTACGAGCGAGTAGCTCGCCACGAAACAGAGCCGGAACCAAGGCTGAAGGTGTAACCCTGTGACGGACCGCTGCGTAGCCTGGTCGTCAGCCCAGGAAGCGTCTGCGTGCCTAGTGAGGACCACTGGACTGCGCCCTCCAAGCACTAGCCCCATGCCCGACGTACTAGCACAAGTAACGCAACACCCTCTTCGCTGCAGCCATGTGCTTGGTCGGTGTCTCCAGGAGCAACATAGCGTGCGAGAATGCTAAGAGGGTATGCAAGGTCAGGACGTGTGCAGGTCATCAGGTACATGAGGCAGCCAACAAGCTCTGCAAACGGGCCACTCGACTCTACGGACTCATCCGAAGGCAGAGCTGAGAGCGAGTGGCGAGTAGGCAGAGGAGTGGCCTGAGGCGAGGAGTACGTGAAGCCGAAGCGCTGAAGGACCTGCTGCACCATGTGTGACTGAGTCAGGGTAATGGTGCGGCGCGCTCTGTCCCGGGTGATCTGCAAGCCAAGGTAGCTACGCAGTTCACCCAGGTCAGTGCACGTATGTCTCTTCTGCAGCTCGGACTTTACGTAGGCGAGTCCAGAGTCAGCAGTGTCAGCTGTGGCAAAGACCAAGTCGTCGACGTACACGAGGATGTAGAACGGCGGCAGAGAGGTGTCGGTGCGCAGAAACAGCGACGGGTCGGCAGTAGACGGAGCAAACCCAAGTGCCGCGAGCGTAGTCCTCAGTGTGTCGTGCCACTCACGTGGCGCCTGGCGGAGACCGTAGACTGGACGCCGGAGACTCCACTGGGTACCAGGAGGGAAAGACCCAGTGAAGCCAGGTGGGCGGCGCAGCCAGATCTCCTCGTGCAGACTGCCCTGCAAGAAAGCTGTGCTGAAGTCGAGAGAGTGCAGCTCGTAGTCACGGTGAGCAGCAACGTGCAGCAGAACCCGAAGAGTGGTCATCTTCGGGGTGGGGGAGAAGGTCTGAAAGTAGTCAACCCCCTGCCGCTGACTGAAGCCACGAGCCACGTAACGCGCCTTGAAGACAGGCGGAGAACCCGGCGGCCGCTTCACCTGAAAATCCACATGCCACTGACGATGTTCGCCCCAGGAGGGGGGACAGCGTCGACGTAGGTGCCTGTGGACTTCCAGGAAGCCATCTCTGCATCCATAGCTGCCTGCCACTGAGAGGAGTAGGGACCCTCTATCGCCTCCGCGTAAGAGCGCGGAGTCGGGATGTCTGGTGCATCCGGGTCTCCCTCAGGGGCTAGCAGTACAGACGCGAGATGGGGTGAAGCGGCGGCCAGACACTGGAACTCCTCCTGCCTGTCCTCAAGGACGTCCGTGCCGAGGGCACACTCACCCCCGACGGACGGAGGACAGGCAGACTCAGACTCAGCGACAAGACAGGCAGCGTAGTCTAGACGACAGCGCGCAGCAAAGTCGACAAGCTCAGTGACAAGGGCAGACGCAGCGGACGACTCGAAGGAAGGGTCAGTGACAGCAGTAGCAAGGAGACGCGTGACAGTAGGACTGGCAGCACGAAGAGAGTCCGACTCCGGGTCGGGCAAGAGCAGGAAGAGAGGAAGCAGGAGGAGAAGGTAAAGGGGCACGCAGAGGAGCAGTGGACGGACGCAGTAGTCGAGTGAATCGGTGCGTACCAGGGACAGGAGGAGGACGCTGACGCGACCCGCGACCACTAGCGCGCTCAGTACAAACAGGCGACGCAGGACGAGACGCAGGCTCACGACGCTCAGTAAGACCTCCAGTCGGACAAGCGTAGGGAGAAGGAGCAGGCAAAGGGGGGAGGCAGGCTGTAGCTGTGGCTGTGACCAGACAGGCTGCGGACCTCTAAGGGAGGAGGAGGAGGTGGAAGACCAAGAACCTGCTGCAGGAGCGGAAACGAAGTCTACGGTCGGGTGTCCGCGCCGGCGACGCCAGAAACAGCAGAGCAACCAGCCAGCACCCCCGGCAGGAGCACCCACTCCAGTAGCACCCCA